ACTCACACTCAATAACAATACTCATACTAATATTGATACGAATCACACTCACACTCAATAACAATACTCATACTAATATTGATACGAAGAATAATACTGATACTAATATGATTACTCAAACTCATACTGATACTCATACTCATACTGATATGTACACTAATATTGATATTCATACTGATACATATATTGATACTAATACTGATACTCATATTCATACTGACACTGATAGTCATACTGATACTGTTACTTATACTCATACTGATATTGATAGTCATACTACTGATATTGATACTGATACTAATACTAATATTGATACTCTTATTGATATGCATATTGATATTGATACTCATACTCATACTAATATTCATAATCATACTCAAACTCACACTACGCATACTTATACTCGTTGTCATACTTATACTCATACTCATACGCATACTCATGCTCATTGTGATACTCATATTCATTACTAATACTAATACTAATACTAATATTAATATGGATACTACTATTGATACTGATATCAATACTCATACTTAAACACATACTGAAACTCAGATTCATACTCATACTCAAACTGACACTGTTACGAATACTTATATTAACATTGATACTAATACTCAGACCCGTACTCATATAAAATACTCATATTCATACTCATACACACTAATACTCATGCCCATGCTTATACTCATACTAAAAGTCATACTCGCTGATTATCGGAGGAATGGCTATTGGTGTCTCTATTCCATATTTCATCGGTTCACTTTTCTATCATAGAATCCACGTATGGGCATTTTGTTATCCGTATTTGTTTCGAAATTTTTTTTTTTTTTTTTTTTTTTTTTGCGCTGGTGTTGGTTTCTACGCTCAACGGTACATTTGTTGTTGTTTTTCTTTCTTGAGTGTAGGTGTGGTTAGAAAGGTATCCGAAGAGAGCTTCTATCGTAAAACTAGCGGGCGAAGGAAGTTGTTTTAATCAGTTTCGAGCTGTTGATTTGATTAGGATTTCTCCTTTCCCATATGTTATATATAACTACTGTGCTGTGGCTACTGATGTGAAGTACGTTCCTTACTTGTTGGGGACACTCGTTGGAATTGTGCCAGAAATATTCGTTGCACTTTACACGTGAGAACTCTCTCTCACTCTCACTATATATATATATATATATATAAATATATATATATATATATATATATATATATATAGAGAGAGAGAGAGAGAGTTAATTGCAAATACCACCCCTGTGAAATCTCTAATTGTCAAATACCCCCCTGTCAAAAAAATATTCACTCATGCCCCCTTTAAGAAATAAAAGTCAAGGCATCGAAGCCCTTGGGAGCAAATCGTGTCCCTCAAGCGCTGACGCTGCGAATTTTTCTCTCTTTTTGCGTGGGAAATGTCAAATACACCCCCACCAAGCCTTTTTTTTCCTTTTCTCTTTTTCTTTTTTTTTTTCCCTTCTTTTTCTTTCCTCTCCTTCCTTCTTCAACTTCTTCAAACCCACCACCGTCAAACATGTATCTCCTTCCTTCTTCATCTTCCTCAAACCCCACCCCCTGTCAAACATGTAGAAAAATCTTCCTGTAGATATAGCCCGGAAATTCTATAGAAACCATTGACATAAGTTTTTTCTCGCCTCTGCAACTCCCAAGGCTGACCCGTTGCCGCCGCACCGGTCTCACCACCCACCCGCCGCGGCATGGCAGCGACCTCAATTGTGAGAAAATCGTTCAATCCTCCATTTTTTGTAGAAGATCTTAGTAGATTTAGAAGAAGAAATCGAGAGAAAATAATGTTAATATAACCTAATTTTAGGTCCAATTTTATTTTTTCATTAGGTCATTCAGATGAGTGAATTAAATGTATTCAAAATGTGAACTTTAGAGTGTATTATGTCCATAGTTGAAATTTTTAGCTGGGAGTTTGTGCGGCGGATCTGTAGAAGATGTGGTGGTGTTGTTGACGAGCGTGGTGGTGCAGGAGGGTATGTGCGTGGGGGGCTGTTGCTGGGAACAAGATGAAGATATTTTCTCCTTTTGATTCAGCTCAGTGGCACCATGAA